CCCCCCCCCGCAGGAGAGCAATTAAACTAGAGTAATGGAGGTAAAAGATGAAAGGGAATGGTTCTGAAGCAAAGGAGTTTGCATGCTGGGCCCCAGCTGGGGGTCAGCTCCATACTCTGACCCTCCCCTGGGTGGTCTGTGATGTTCCTAATGTCAAAGACTTGGGGACAGAGAGAGGCAGAGGGAACAACAAGAGCCAGGAACAGCTACCCCCACCCACATCAGCAGGACAGCTTCATGGGAAGTTTGGGGCAGGTCCACAGAGGCTCCTGGGACAGCTCCCAACTCATGGCTGCCCTCTTTTCCTTCCCCTTCAGGGCATGGAGCTGGAGGTCGAATTCCTGCTGGAGGAGAGGTGAGTGGCTCCCCCAGGGTCCTGACCCCCAAGCATTTCAGAGCCTGGTCCACCTTTCTGCTGTCTTCACCTCTTCTCCCCTGACACTCACCTCAGACTCCTCACTGTGCGTCAGAATCAATAGGAGCTTCTAAAGACTGCAGGTGCCTGGGCTCCGCCCCTACTCATCCCATTCTACTGACATCGGTATTACTTTCAACATCTAATATTCTGGCCAAACTCAACTCCCCTACATTCCTGAGAGTGGCCTCTGCGAAGAATTCCTGCCATTTTACTGGCAGGGACTTGTTGAGGCCAGGCTGAGAAAGAGGTCGGGACCAAGGGGTCTCCTCCTTGACATGGAACTGTTAGAACAAACTCCCCCAAACCCTGGCCTAGAGCAGAGGCTGCGCCCTCCCCATCTGCAGTAAACTCTGGAACCAAGTCAGGGGGAGGCTCTGACCCAACACATGGGGTTATTTCCCATCATGTTCAATTAGGAAGATGACCCAGGGTCCTGGAGGTCTGACTAGGTTGGTGACTCAAGTGTAATTGGGTCACAGAGCTGGAGCGGGGAAAGGAGAAGAGGGCAAAGCGAGGAGGAAGGAAGGGAAGGGGCAGTGGGGGAGGGCAGCAGGGCCCCTGTCCAGGGGAACAAACTTGCCCCAGGATGGCAGTACACCTTGCGATGGGATAGCCGGCTGCTCCCCCTCTTCTTAGCCCTGGTGGGGCTGAGCCCCCTGGATTTATGATCAGCTGGGGTGAGGGAGGACAAAAAGAATGAACTAGAACAAGAGGGCTTGTCACATTCTACTTGGAGAGTCCTCCGTCTAGGCACTCTTGGAACTACCGCAGGTCCTTGGAAAAATGTCATTTTGTTCAATGTAATTTCATTATACCTTGATGAGATGCCATAGAGACATAACTCTTGGTTATATCAATTCACCTGTGGTAAAATTGGTTTCATAATACATCATTTTACCACAGTTCCAAGAACCTATCGATGACATTATATGAGGAATTGCTGTATTTGAGGTGCCTCATTTCCCATCAACAGCTGATTGGCAACTTAAAATCAACTTTGTTCCACGCTGAAGAAAATCTGGGCCCTCTCCCCCAGGTCTTGATTTGACAGGACTTTTAGGTGGGGAAAATTCTTGGCTGAATTATAAAGTGGCTTGCAAAATGAATATCTCAAAATTGGCTATAAGAGTTGACCTGAGACATAGTCATTTTGGGCTTAAGTGGGCTGCTACGTGTAACCTTTGAAGCTTATATTCTGGGCTTTACAACACAAGGACATTTCCTGTTCATAAGACCCTCTAGGCTGCTTGGGTCAGAACGGTTTGTTAAATGAGTAAATTAAATAAAGTACAGAATGGAGAATGGGTCCATTTCACTACCAGAACTGTTTCTATCTGCTCTAGATGATGTCCGACCTTTTCTTACAACCTGTTTACCCTCATAACTCTATGCAGTTTCATCAGTTTGGACATAAAGTTATCCTTTAAGGAAAAAAGGGGAGGAACTCTTCTACTCCTTGTAACCTATAAATCTGGTTTTTTTTCCTGGACATTCTATTTAAAATGTATGCCAGTTTTCTCCTTGCCAACCTACAGATGTAATGTTTCTTAAGCCAGTATTTTTCATGAGGACCAAGAAAGCTCTGCTATCTCATTATTGACCCTACTTAGGCTTTTTGTCTCCTTTGTGAGAAATCGGCCAAGAATAATATAACTGACCAGGAGTTCTCCTTTTGTTTTTCAGTCCCTCTCCACCTGAGGCCCTCATCACCAATGGCGTGCTGGTGGTAATTGTCTTTCCAGGTTCCTGTAGCTCCAGAGGCCACCTGAGGCTGCTCTTCCCACGGGAACAGACTGTGGGGGAAACCAGGCCCAGCTTAAACCCTGTCCCGGAACCCATTAGGAGTCAAACTAATTGAAGCCAGACAAAGGGGGCACAGGAAGGGCTGGGGCAACAGCTGGGCTTCTGCTCCTGGGGAGGAGGTAGCTGGGACATCTATCACTCTGGCCCAGCACCCCACAGCTCACTAGTACGACTCTTCCTCTTGGGAACCGCCCAATAAAAGCACCCACTAGGAGGCAGCTTTCTCCCAGAATCAATCTGGGTCCCATTTTCCCCCAACCCCCATCTGTCTACAGCCATATCTCTTAGATATATCTAAAACCCCAGGATTCAAGATCTCTCCCCCCAAAAATCCATCTTTGGCAGTTTGTGGTGAAGGACTTTCACTTGTTTCTGCTTCTTTAGAAGGCTTTTTCTTTAGACGTTTTTAACTTTGAAAGCCCAGAGAGGTAGGTTCCCTCAGGCTTCACCCCCAACCTGCAGCTGAGAACATGACCCCTGGTAAATGGTGATTGTACATCTTAGATTTTTCAAGAAAGCTTCATTTTCAAATATCTGATCTCTGAATGAGTTGATGGGCCTTGATTTGGGTCCAGAAAATGTGGTCGGCACATCTAGGCTCCCCCAGGCTGACCAGTGCTAAATTTATCCTCCAGTTCTTTATCTCCTCTTTTGGGCCTAGCAGAGCAGGGTATGGCTTATGCTCAGAATGACCCCCTCTGCTTTGTTGCAGGCTCGACAAGTCTCCTGCCTGGAGGTTCATGAAGAATCCAGAAGGCAGAGGAAGAGTGGGAAAAGTGAGTCCTTTGACTGCCTCTGCTTGCTGGGGGGAGGGCAGTGTGGCTTCCCAACCCTGTCAGCACCAGAATTAGCTGCCGTAGGGCTGCCCTGGGCTCAGTCGGGGAACTAAGAGCTTAGCGGAGATGCCTCAGGATCACTTTATCCTCAGGGGTTGTGGACCCCTGTCTCCACACCCAGTACTCCCTCCATAAGGGCTGTGCTCTTCCAGGCACCTACATGACCTTCGGAGCTTCCCAGGCCTGATAAGCACCCTGGGTCAGGGTTCAGTGGCACAGCGCTGCCCATACTGGTCTGCGCTACACTCCTGCCACACCAGGGGTTCCCTGGATCTGGTGCCGTGGTCAGCAGCGGGGTGGGCAGGCACCAACAACACCCAGGGCCCCTTCCTCTAGGCAGATTATAAGTCATAGAGAGTCCTAGCGTTTTGTAGCTGGCAGGGACCTAAGAGAGCCACAAACATGAGATTCTCCTGCTCACCACTCCACCCCATCCCACCCATGCAAGGACTTCCAGCCCTGCCCCAAGACTGGGGAGCAGCATGGCCCCACATATATGGGGGAAGGAGGGAAGAAGAGGCCCCTACCCCCCACATTGGCAGTTTGGTTGGTGAGGGCTGCTTTCAGCGCAGTAGCAGGTGACTTTGGGGCACCATCTGGAGAAGCAGAGCCTAGGAGCACTAGTCCAGAGGACTCAGCATCTCAGAGGGCTTTCTGGAGACCTCGTTTGTCAGCATCACACACAAGCCATGTTAAAATGCACATTCCTGGGCTGGCCCTGCCCTAAAGAGACTCTCTGAGGGGTTTTAACCAGTGCCCCAGGCAATTCTAAAGCCCTATCCTAGATACCTCTGGCTACTTTTTTTACTGGCCCAAGATGGGGTGGGGGTGTGAGAGGCTTTCTGGGAGGTCTTAGCCCTCTTGTCTCCTCTTCCAGGGAAGGACCTCCTGGTGACAGTGACGGAGTCCTTCGAGAACACACAGCGCCTCTCACAACACCCAGACCCTTGCTGCCCAAACCCTGCCTGCTTCCACTACCCCAAGCATTTCCAGTCCCAGATGCATGTGGAGGCTCCCAAGAGCCGATGGAGCTGTGGGGTACAAGGCGGCGTCAGGGGATGGTGTGGGGGGCCTGGGGCAGGTGGGCTGCCAGAGAATCCCCTTTCCCCCACTCACAGAGTCACCCTTCCTTCCAGCTTTGCTGCTGTGGCACGCACAAGAAGCATGGCCCTATCTGCCAGCCCCTCGACTGCCTGCCTGATGGCCAGACAATGAGCCTGCCTGTGGTGAGGGCCTGGGTCCGGGAAGGGTCCCCTGAGCAGCTTAGCCTGGAGCTCGTATAGCGGGGAGAAGAGGAGATCCTGGGAGTCTCATGGAGGCAGAGACTCATGGGGTGTCTCAGGCAGGATAGAGGAGTCTTGTGAGGTGGGAGATGATGAGCTGCAGTGTGGACCAAAAGAGAGTGTGTGGAGGCCAAGTTGAGGATGGTGGGGAGGAACATTCCAGAAGAGGGGGTGGTGATGGAGCATGTGTGTGTGTGTGTGTGTGCCGGTGTGTGTGTGCGCACATGTGTGTGCTGAGTGAAGTCAGGGGGAGGACATGTGGTGAGCCTGCACTTCTTTGGTTGGGATAACTTGACTCTGAATTGTCATCCCTGACAAGCTTTTCATCTTTTGCATCCCAGGCAGAGAACTGTGAATTACACATGAAGTCTACACCCTGGTAAAGTACCCTTTTTCTGTCCATCCCTCTGATTCATTCATCCTAGGGGGTGTGAAGTGGTATCGCAGTGTTGTTTTGATTTGCATTTCCCAGATGGCTCATGACATTGAGCATCTTTTCATGGGCTTAATGGCCATTTGTATATCTTCTTTGGAGAAATGTCTTCAAATCCTTTTCCCATTTTTAAAGTGGGTTATTTGGCTTCTATTTTAAGTTGTAAGCGTTCTTTGTACATTCTGAATACAACGCCCTTGTCAGATATATGATTTGCAAATATTTTCTTCTATTCTGGGGGTTGTCTTTTCACACTTCTTTTTTTTAAGATTTTTTATTGGGAAATTGGGGGAGGGGAACAGCATTGGGAAATTACGGAAGGGGAACAGAGAAGTTGCTGTCCTTTTGTTCTTCAGTCTAGTTGTGGAGGACGTTGCTTCACTGGCCCATGTTGGTATTATCATTGCACTCCTCCCAGGTGAGGCAGATTGGTTGCTTATGGCAGCCCACTGCAGCTTCACTGCAGCTTACACCGTTGCCAGCGACTCACGGCAGCCCAGCTCCAAGTTGAACTGTTGTTCACCATCTTAGCTGTAGAGGGTGCAGTGTCACTGGCCTTAATGTGGGATCCGAACCGGGGACCTGCTGCTCAGAGCTGGCGTCCCAAGCCAACGCTTAACCAACGCGCCACTCGGCTGGCCTGTCTTTTCACATTCTTGATGGTGTCCTTTGAAGCACAGATATCTTAATTTTTGGTGAATTCCAATTTATATTTTTTCCTTTTGTTGTTTGTACTTTTGGTATTTAAGAAACCATTGCCTAACCCAAAGTCATGAATATTTATTCCTTTGTTTTCTTCTAAAAGTTTCATGATTTTAGTTGTCACATTTAGGTCTGTGATTGATTTTGAGTTAATTTTTATTACACTGTGAAAAAGGGGCCCAACTTCATTCTTTTGCATGTGGATGTCCAGTTGTCCCAGCATTATTTGTTGAAAAGATTATTCTTTCTCCATTGAGGTGTTTAGGAACCCTTGTCAAGAATCAAAAATCAAGTGATCGCAATTTCCATTTACAGTCTGATTAGCTCTCTGCCCTTGGACAAGTTGTTTAACCTCTCTGTGTCTCAGCTTTTCTCATCTGTAAATTAGAGCAATACCAGAAATACTGACCATCATTTGTTGCTTTGAGGATCCAGTGAGGTGGGTAACACATGTGAAGGCCTCACTGATCTATTTGGCAAGTGGGATGCTCAGCAATTAACAACTAATGTTATTATTGTTCTATTATCCATTCCTTGTTGAGGTCAAAGAAAGAGTTATTTCCTCACAGCTGTGTCTGCTGGCCTGTGCTAGACACGGAGGAAATGTGATGGAAGGGCTCCCAGGCCCTGCCATCAAGGAGACATGACCTTGTTAGTGACTCAGATCACTAACTCAGGTCCAAAATTGTCAAGCTCTATTCGCCTAGAGTCACTGCGGAGTCGGGCCTTGGAGGGTGCAAGAGATGTAGGTAGGCAGAGGGAGGAAGCTTGTGGTGAAGGCAAGGACCTGTGCAAAGGCTCAGAACCAGAAACGCTCCTGGGTTCTGAGAGCCAATGGGCCTTTCCAGGAAGTAGTGGGAGGTGAAGTTGAACAGATCACGTAAGGTCTTAGATGCCAAGCCAGGAGCCTGGACTTGTTTAGGGCAGGGATGTGATAAAGAGAGCAAGCACTGGTCATGCCACAACAGCTCCTGCCCCACCTGCCTTACAGACCTGGGGATGACACAGTGAGATCAGGGTTGTGAAGGGTTTTTGTCCACTGCACGAACACACGGGATGATGATTATCCTGGGAACAGGGAGAGCTTAAGGAAGAATGTGAGCTCCACAAGAATAGGGCTGTGTTTACCCAGCCCAGAAGAGCCCTTACTGGAGAGCCTTATCCAGAGGAGTTGGCCAGAAGTATTTCAGGGCCTCTTTTCACCCATGTGTGGCCTCGGTCGACAGAAGGTGCCTGGGAGAAGCCTTTATAGATCTTGCTGAGGAGGCAGAGGGCTCAACGAGTCTCTAAGTTTGTCAAGTACCTGCTTACAATGCACCAGCTAAGGCTTTGGGGCTTTTATATTTGTTTTCTCACTAAGTCCTGAAGACAGTGCTGTAAGTTAAGTGTGATGAGCCCCATTTTACAGATGAAACAACAGAGACCCTAAAGCCTCATCTTCCCCATGGAGGCAGAGTCTACAGGCCCACTCAGCCAATGTCCCCTGTCCCCACAGCCCCCAGACACTGGATGTGCGGCTGGGCTACAACCTATGCTCGGAAGAGCTGGAGTTCCTGCAGAAGCGGAAGGTGGTGGTGGCTGAGGCGCTGAAGCAGGTATTGCAGTTGGAGGAGGACCTGCAGATGGATGAGGTGGGTAAGCAGAGGCCAGCCAGCTTGGGCTCAGTGCCTGCTCTGAACTAAGCTTGTCCTTCCCACACCGTGCCCTGCCAGCTGCCCCCAGCCCTTCCCGGCCCAGGGCGGCCTCAGCACTGCCTTTCCTGGTTGCTCTTAGTGCTATGGTTCCAGATGAGAGCTGTGTTGGATGTGATTCAGTTGGGTGTTCACAAGGGGCTGGGGAAGCAGAGTAGAGAGAGAAAGGAGGGAGCCACTAACAGATCCTGAGGTGACAAAATGGCCTCCTCTCCCCGGTCAGGAAAACATGTGAAGCTCCACCATCCCCTCCCTCACCTACACACACCCCACACATCCAAAAGGCCCTAGCACCTTCATTCTTCAATTCTCCCTTCCCCCCAAGTACAGAGAGATAGATAGATAGATAGATAGATAGATAGATAGATAGATAGATAGATAGATAGATAGATAGATTGATAGATAGATAGAACAACAGGCCAGCTTTTTTCCACTGAGCAAACAATAGTGCCTTTGTTAGAGCCCTCTGTCACCTCCCTGGTGTGGACTGAGGCCCATGCTCCCTGGACAGCAGGTCAGCCCTCTGATTGCCCACCTTCTTAGGCTGACCACTGGTATGGACAGAGAACTCGTGACTGAGGAGGGCTGTGCTGGGGCTTTAGCCAACAGAAGGATCTTACAGCCCCCACTCAAATGAAAACAGTTAGAGTAAGCCTTAGCGAAAAGCCTGCTTCTCCCGTCTTTAGGGAAACACACCAAGGGCATCTTAAACCTATGTCAACCCATAGGTGACAACCCTGCTCCTTCCTACATCAAAAGTTCACTTCCTCCTGCTCTGACACATATATATGGTATATATTGGGCATATACCATGTACCAGGCCTGGTGCCCTCACATCAAATCCCTCTACAGAAGATACCAATTTGCAACCATTAAGGAATCACACACTAGCTGGGTTCTTGAGCAAGCCACCCAGACCCCCAAACCCCTATTTGATCATGTGTTAACTGAGGGCTAAATTAACAGTGCTAAGAACTCTTCCAGCCATGACTTTCTGATTTACCAAGACTGCATAAGGCTTCAGAGCCCTTTACTGATGGCAACTTCTGGGTTTGGGGCTAAGGTCTAATTCTAGACCTTCTGGGTGGCCCGCCACTCTGTAACGTGCGATTTACAGGTCACTCGGTGCTTTCCTCTGTGCTCTGTGTAGCCAGCTCTCCCTCCTCCACTGTTCCTTCTTAGCTCCTGTCTGTCACGCCAAGTCTTTCCTACCCAGCATTGCCCCAACAGTCTGCCTCTCTGTGCCCTCAGGTACCGCTCATAGCCATCATGTCCACTGGTGGTGGCACAAGGTCCATGACAGCCATGTATGGCCACCTGCTGGGGCTACAGAAGCTGAATCTCCTGAACTGTTCCAGCTACATCACTGGCCTGTCAGGGTCCACTTGGTAAGGAGCAAGGGGGCCACTGTCTGGTGTAGCCCAGAACAAGCAACAAATGGGTTGGTTGGGGTCTCTGGTGAAGTTTCTCCTCCACCCCAAGTTAGACTGACTCATGAAGCCTGGGCAGCAGTACCACTTACAGCTGTGTGACTCTGGGTATGCAGCTCAACTTCTCTGAGTCTCAGTTTCTGTATCTGTAAAGTGGGGATAATAATAGCACCAACCTCATGGGGTTGTTGGAGAGGCTCTCCTGTACTGGGTACACGAGAGACATTGCACACATCATACACGTTGGTCATTACTGACATTACTATTTCCCTGCAGCTGTGCAGGGACTTGGGAGCACGGTGGCCAACTATGAGTGAGCTCCTGGTGCCACCGACCCCGTGCTGCTGGGGAGACACAGCTGCCCTCTCCCCGACTGTGCCAAGTCAGCTAGGGTGGTGGGAGCTGGCCCGGCTGCTCAGGCTGCCCACACTCCAACTCAGCACCTATCCCTGCCCGCTCCCTCGGCCCTGTAGGCTTCCTCGGCTCCCACCTCCTCACTCTGCTGGTGAGCAAGGAGAGTGAGCTGGTTCCCCCGAGGTGAGGCCAGTGTGAGGTCGGCTTCTCCACAGGAGCCACACTGCCTGGGGTCCACGGTGCTTGTAGGGGCTCGCAAAAAACATGTTCATGTCTTTTCAGATCAGAAGACAAAAAATGAACTTCTAGGTTGAAGAAAGTGTTTTAATAAAGAATAGTACTATATTTGTCTTTATACAACAGTCATAAAACAAAATTTTTAATGTTTTTATGGTGGAAGGGGCCACCAAAGTCATAATGCAACCCTGGTCTCGGTGGCTGAGGCCCCATGACCACCAAGGCCTCTCTCTCAGGCAGGCCCGTGTCTTATTCCATCTGGGATTGGTGGCCCTCTGAGCCCTCAAGGCCCCAAACTGTGGCCCTCGTCCTGGAGGCGCTCTGGGTGACTTTCATTTGGGTGAGTGGATGTGAATGCTTCCTAGGAAAACCAAGGACGCATGGTGCATCAGGAGGCCTGAGGCTTCAGCTCATATGGGATCTAGGAGGAATAGCTGACAGTTATCAGCATCGCCACTGCTCCAAGCACTGGGTGACTGTTTCCGGTGGTGGATCACCTCATTTCTTCTTCACAAGAAAATTATGAGAAAGATGTTGTCATTCTGCTTATTTTATAGTTGGAGAAACAAAGGAATTCTTCAGGGTCACTCAGCTAATGAGCGGTAGAGTTGGGATTTGAACCCAGGCTGTCTGAGTCCAAGACCCACGTTCTTAATCTGCCTTTTAAACAGCTGCTCATGAGTAGTAGGTTAAGGTGATCATCTGCATCCAAGGGGGTTGTGGGGCAGCGGACGGGCACCTAGCCTGGGAGAGCACTGGGAAGGATTCTTTTAAAACCAATTATTTGTAACTGGGTGAAACTTATGGAGAGCAGGGTGTTTTGTTGAAGAAATCTCCTGACCTACCCCTGCCTTCCCAGACCAGAAATAAGTCCTGTGAAGGAAGAGGCCAGTGTTTAGACCTTGCAGCTTCACACAAGGTCCTCTGTGGGGTGGGGGTCCCAGGTGCTGTCCTGACATAGACAGAAAAGCTGGGTCCAGACCAAGAAAAGGCAGCCAGAGGCAAAGACCCAAGGCCAGGGGCAGCTCCATCTTTGTTTGACTCCTCCCCACTGCCCACATGTAAGTTAAGAAGAATGGGAAATAGATCTTTAGCCAGCATCATAATTATGGGAATTAATGTGCCCAAATGGAAACAGTCCAGGGTGTGGCATCAGCCAAGCCTGGGCTCAAATGTTGGCTCCACCATTCCACAGCCCAGCACTTACTTGGTGCCACGTACTATTCTAACCACTTTATATTACATTAATTCATGTAATCTTCACAATAACTCTGTGAGGTAGGTACAATTATCATCACTCTCCCTTTTCTACATGTAGGGACACCGAGGTGAAAAATGGCTAGGTAACTCGCCCAAGATCACACAGCCAATGAGTTTCAGAGCCTGGTTTTGAACCCAGGAAGACCTGGGCCCAGAATCCTCATTCTTAAGCAACATGCTACCTCTGACCCACAGCAGGCAATCAAGAAACAGTAGCAATTGTGACTATGCGTAATCCTGCTTGCCCCCTTTCCTCCAGGCTCCTCTCCTGGCAGGTTTCCTATGAGCTGCCCGCCTTCGCTCCTGCCAGGGCCCCGGGTTGATTGGACCAGGGCTGGCTCAGCTGTAGCAGCCATACCTGTCTCTTTCCAGGACCATGGCTACCTTGTACAGTGACCCTGAGTGGTCCTCCAAAAACCTGGAGCCTGCCATCCTCGAGGCCCGGAGGCACGCGGTCAAGGACAAGTTACCCACCCTGCACCCGGACCAGCTCTTCAAATACCGGGAGGAGCTCAGGCAGCGCAGCCAGGAAGGCTACAAGGTCACCTTTACAGACTTCTGGGGCCTGCTGGTCGAGGCCTTTCTGGGGGACGAGGTAGGTGCCCAGCTTCTCCTGGGCTGCACCCTGCCCTGCTGATGTTCACCTCTCTTTCTTTGTTTGAGTATTTGGACTTACATCGTAGCAGGAGGGAGTTAGGTTAGACCTGCAGATGTACCCTTGAGCTGTAAAAGGCAAGGTGTCAGGTGCCTGAATGTGTGATGGAGAAAGATGTTGGGGGTGGCTTAAGTGCAACCCTGCAGAGAGGCAGTGTGTCCTCTGAGAGTCATGCCAAGACACCTGTGAGGGAAAAGGAGAAGGGAGCTGGAAAAGTCTGGAGAGCCGTCAGACTGTGATACAAGTCGGACACCAAGTGGAGGAGACAGGGAAGAAAGGCTGGGTAGAAGCATCCTAGACTACTGTGTGGTCTAGAAGGTTCAGCAAGGCCTTCGAGGGTCCTCCAGCCAAGTCACAGTAGCCTGATACCCCACAGAATGGGCCTGCCTCAGCACCCCTGTGCCACTCAGTCATTGGGCTGGGAGCACCCATGGGAAGTGTGGCCTCAGCATGGATTTCAGAGCACAGCAGCTGGGGCCCTTCACCAATGACACTTCCTATAGCTGAAGGTCTGCCGAGCTCATTCTCATGGTCACCACCTAAAGGATGGGCCCAGTGAGGTTCCTTCCTGCTCTGAGATCCAATGATCTTAGCAATATGTGCCCAAGATGAGAGCCAGCCTGTGTTGGGACCCAGCAGTTGTGACAGGCATGTGGGACATGGTGAAGGAATGGGATCCCCGTGAGATGCTGTAATTCTGGACATCAGGGTGAGAGCTCAGCTAACACTTGGCCTCTTCCAGATGTGCAGCCCCCAGGAAGGACCAACTGTGGCTGTTGCTTGGCCCCAAAGCAGAGCTTTCTATCTCTTTTCTATCCAGGCCTATGGCTGTCTGTCCTACTCCCAAAAGTGTCTGAGGAGATCTGATTTCAAATCAGAATTTTCCAGGAGGAGGAGGAATAACAAATTATTTTCTAGTAGGTTTCCTTTTACAGGAAACCCAGACAATTTGAGGGACCAAGGATGGCCCAAACCGCATCTTCAACATTCATTCATTTCTTCACTCAATCTTTCAACAAATTAAGGACCTCCTACATGCCAAGAATTATGCTAGGCCATGGGGATTCTGACAGAGGCACTCACAGCTTTTGATGGATCCCACCTCACCCTGTCCCCCTTGATATTCCACCATCTAACCTGTCCTCATGATGAAGCAAGGCAGGCAGAGACTGAGGGTGTTGGCTTATGGATTAAGGCATGATGGAGTTTAAATTCTGGCCCTGTTCTTTGCTATCCCTTAAATGGGAATTTCACCAGTAAGTGGTAGTTGATATTTCTAACAAGAGTTGGTACCCCCATGTGATGAGGAGGAAAGCACCAAGGTTTTCAACATCAGAAGTCTGAGAATTGCCCCCAGGGTTTGATGTGGGCAAGGAGCCAGGGTCCCCAAGAAGTCTAGGATTGATGTCAAAAGGCCTCTGCTTTAACACTAGCCAAAAGTAGGAGCCCCTTTCCCTCAGGCCCCCTTGACAATGAGTGTGAACTCTTCCATGAGTCTGTAACTTCTCTACTTCCAGGACCATCAGCTCCATGATGTCCAGATCTCTGGGCCCACTTGACAGGTACCCTGTTTGCCTTTCAAAAGAGGCCCAAGAGTCTCTCTGCCCACATAGGTGTTTACCATCTCACACAGGTTCTGTGGCTTTCACAAACTTGGTTAACCATGATGGTTACCTAGCAGGCAGCTGCTTGGCCTGGGATCAGAACCTAGTCATCTAAGACCTCAGTTGGCCTTGTCTATTCTAGCTGACTCATTTTGTGGGGTGGCCTGTGACCCCAGCTGACCTGCAGGACTCCCATTATGATTACATAGCACAGTGCTCTGGGAACTTAGAAGGCTGCCATGTGGTACCTGGGTTTCGAAGCCTTTCATGAAAGAAAGAGAGAGACAGAGAAAGAGAGAGAGAGAGAGAGAGA